TGTCCCGAGAGCCACAGAAAATTCAACTCACACAAAGCATTTGCTGTGGGTCAATTGCTCTTACTGTGATTGAACTGGAGACATGTAAAAGCCACTGCAGGTTCAAAATAATTTTTAAAAAAAAGCTTTCACTAAAGAAGCTGTTCAAAGTAGTTGTAATAACTATAATTTTTTACTGCTATTTTTATTGTTTGCAATAACGAAATACCTCAGGGCAAGAGCTAAGGTTAAGGTCCTTTTTACCATAGACTGTACAGAATACAGTATTCTCTAAAACTGGGAAAAAAATCAGGACACAATAGGAAAATATTGTTCACAGGCCAAATGAAACTAGCAGATACCAGACTCAACATAAATAAAAGCTGATACTTCTTCAAATGTGTCATGTGCTATGAGTCACTGGAAGCCAGAGGACCACTATTACGAAGTGCCACCATACAGCTGCACTGTGGTGCTCCATATTGCACAGCTGCTGCTCCCTGCTGCTGGAGACACAATACCATGCTGGATGGAGCTTCAGCCTGGCCACATGCTGCTGCTCTTATGCTTTCAGTAGAAACTAGCACACAGTTGCTACCTCAGAGGGCTTGCATCTGCAATACGTGAGACAGGCAAAATGGAAGAGGGGTAAAATGTTATTCTTATACCCGTTTTTATTAAGGGAGAATCGAGCAAGGGGCTGTTCTGTGACCTGATCCAAGAAATCAGTTTCACAACTGGAAGCTGGGAGCTAAGATCTGGAGTCCCCTTCAATGCCTGAATTCCCCACCGTGAGCCACCAGAAATCTGCCAAGTGAAAACAGAATCAAAGGCATTGAGTTGTCAGGTTCAGAAGTATCTGTTTTCCCATGGAAACCTCTTCCCAGCAACAGCTAAGCTTTTGCAAGGAGACGAGCACTTCTCATCGTGCGAGAGCTGTCGGAGCTGTTCCGTGCAAAACGCTGTAGCTGCAGCTGCCTTCTGGAGTAGTCTGGTACCACAGCCAGGCAACATACAGCCCTGTTCCTAGCAATCCAGCTGTAATTCTGTCTGCTCAATAATTTTTCACTGTGGAAATGCCAGAATCATAGCCTTGTTTTCTGTTGTCTGGCTGTTAGTGGTGATGTATGAAGAAGTAAGAAAGACAGCTTAATTTTCATAAGCTAACTTGTGCCTGGAGTAACGGAGAGTAAGAGGAGTGTACTTAATCATAACTGCAGGGCCAGAACAGAAAATGATAGAGCTTTTGCTGTTAGTTATGGTATCTTATTCTAATAACTCTTACGAAGAAGAAACAGCAGCTCAGAATGCTGAGCCATTCGAATTCATTATGGCAACCACCGTATTCTCCTCTGCTGGAAGAATAACTCACATAACTCTTTTATGCTTGGCTTTTCCAAAATGCTGTGGTGGGAAGGAACTTTAGTCTTTCACCCCAGAAAATCTGAATTCAGATTGAGGTATGATCAGAGGTGAAATGAACCTGGTGATAGTGTCCCTAGAGCTGGAGGCACCTTGCAGGGAAGGCATGAAAAGCAGCAGAGGAATAGGTTGGGGCTGTTGGATGCTCAGAGAGCTGTGAGCAAGAACAGCATTCATTGTGCCTGCTCCACACCATGCATTGCTTTGGCCACTGCCTCGTGTCTATAACTTCATAAAGCATTTGTAAAAGTAGATAACTAGATCAAATGACTCAGATACACTGGACAGATATTCTCACAATGATTCATTAATATAAAAAAATGGTTGAAGTTTTGAGTGACCAATTTACTTGGTCAAAATTGGAAGAACAAAACATGATTTTCTTTTGTTTGAACTTTTAGATACTTAGAATAACATGGTAGATATGATATATATTATGCATCTGTATTATGTATCACGTTGTTTTATATTCTTTAAAATGAGGAGGGTTGTACAGCTTTAGATGTGGTTATTTTGATATCTTCAGATCAAAATGCTTGGGGAATTTCTTCCAGAAGATATTTTCTTTTTTCCTGTGCTGGTTGAGAATGAAAACAGTTTTTGGCTACATTAATATTTGCTATGCAGCTGCAGTTCTGGTTTCCCAATTACTTCTGCCATAAGTCAAGATCCTAGAGACAAATCAAAGGGAAATAAATACATATTCTTCTTTGGCTGAACCAGCCTAGAGAAAACAGAAATATAACCAGAGAAGATACAAAGCACATCTTCATAATTTCCTCCAAGGTGGCTTGGGAGACAAACCATCATATCTGCCTGGTAGGACCTTATGCACCCGTAAGAGTTACAACAGCCTGACAAGTTGCATGATGTTCTACCTTAGGACGGTAGGCTAACTTGTGCACATTCCCAGGCCACTGCAAGAGCAAACTAAAGAGTGTTGGCTGACACATCCTGCTTCATAACAACCTAAAAGGACATGTACAGGCAGTTATTCCAGCTCAGTTGATACACAATAAGTCACATTATCTGATACATATATCTAAGCCCTCAAGCTTACATGATGTTAATTTCTGCCTTCATCCATGTCCTGTATGAAACCTCAAGGAATACTGGTGAGAGCAGGATTTGTTCTGGTGTCTTCAAAAATCAAAGGATAAAGGGGAAAGAAATTATACAGCTGCAATAAATAAATGCAAACATAATTTCCTGAGCCTTTTCAGTTTATCTTGGCATGAGAAATAATAACTGAGAAATAAGTACCAGGGCTACCTTATCAGAAGTGAGATTTTGGACTGGCAAGTGGGAAAGGAAAACCATTAACAAACAGCAAGGTTTGTTCATTTTTTATTAGTCATCAGTTTAAAGGCTGAACCCTGTGGCACGTTGGGAAATTCATGGGGCTAACATAATGAAAGCAGATTGATGCTGCATGGTAAGGAAGTTCAGTACCTGCTTCTTGCAAATGGAATTCTAACATTTCTTTTGATGTTACCAATCCTATCCTGAGAAGGATCTGTGTACTGCTGAGTTGTGAAATGTGCTGGGCAGGAGCACTCTCTTTCTACCAGCTGTGCCAATCCATTCCAGCCTAGCTGCACCTGCATTTTTTATTGGTTCTTTTTCTCATCTTTACTAACCATATTAGTTTCTTATTTTGATTTATTCTACCTCAACCATAAGGGAGTGGATCTAAAAAACAGGCAGATTTCCAGCATGGAGTCAACAAGTGTTAGTTTAAATTGTGTCTCTCAGGCTCTTTCTGCCTAAGACCAGTTGAGATCCTTTCACATTTCCTCCCAATATAAGGCTTGTGTGTCTCATGTACTGTCTAGTGTGTTCCATGTATCTCACAGGCTGAGAGATACTATAGTTTGTATGAACAAATCATTGGTTGCTTAGGATACCTTTGCCTCTAATTTGTAATTTCCTTCATTCACTTGTGCATTGCACTCTGTTAATATTACCAGTTTTCAGTAGCATCAATGGGATGATAAATGTGTGGTGGTCTTTTATATGATCCTTTTGTTCTCCCCCAGATTTTCCACCTTCTTTAAAAAATTACTTAAGGAGTATAATGTGAAAAATTAAATCTATATATAATATATAATGTATAATGGAAAAGGAGCGACATCATTAGAAAATTAGGTCTGCTGAGGAGTGACATGTTGTCATTAGGATAGAGTAGGATGATCCTGAAGTGGTGTGGAGCAGACTTGGTAATCTTTCAAGGTTATTTTTAGATTGATTTCCGTTCCCTCCCTGAATGCTTTCGGAGTGTTCTAATTTATTTGTTATCAGCATTGGCCACTCACTGCTGCTCACACTCTCTGAAACAGCGTTGGAGATACATGTGGGGGTTACTGATGTTCCACCGAATTACAGAGACCACAGGAGAGTATCACAATCACCTTTCAAGCCAATTATAAAATTGAACTAATCACTTCTGTCTTTATGTGTTGCTTCTAAGCCCAACTTTGTGTTGGGCCAGACTGAAATTTTAGTAATACATCATTGGTCCAACATAAACAACACATAATGATCATTTAACGCTTTCAGTGCACTGGTCTGACCATGCACCCACTTTCCTGAGCATCGCTGGGATTTGAACATGGGCCTTCAAAGTGTGATGCTTAATTGCTTTCTTAAAAGGCTGCAAAAGAATTTCCAATACCAGTCTCAGTGCCCTCTGTCAAAACACTATTCCCTTTCCTTTCTCTTATTAGATCCTAATGTAGTTTTTCCCCTTCCCTTCCTCCTCTGTCACCAGAGCATTCTTTCAATCACTTCTCTTATTTACATTTTACACAGCACATTTCAGGATAGATAATTAAGTCCTTATCTATACAAACATTCACTTTTCAGTTTATTTTTAAGCAGTGCAAACCTTCTAGACACATTTGATTTTAAAACACGTTTTACCCTAGCTGAAGCCAGCTGCTAATCAATGTAAGCTAAACTGAAATAAATCTGAAATCATAATTTCTATGCAGCATTCCACACAGATTACCTAAACGGCTTTTGAATTACTCTCTTAAATTAGAGCAGTGCAACTTTCTTATGTAGGTAAGCCCTTAGAATCCATTATTTTTTCTGAACAAACTGAGATTTCCTTTGTGAGTGAGAAAAAAAAAATCCCTGAAACTAATACGGAGGTGCATGGGAAGAGAATAATTTGTTATACTGAGCCTTGTTCTTCAATTATATTATCTCCACCAGAGTATGAACAGATCTTCATATTAGATGATCATTTTACCAACACTTCTCACTAGGAGGATTCTCCATCATTGTATTGCAAAATCTAGCAGCATTCAGATTTGTCTGGGTGATATATTTCTGTCAGCATGACAAAGGTTCCCACAGTGTTTAATTACTCAGACTAGCCAGGGGAGAAGGAATGAAATGAGCCGTGCTGAAGTTGCTGTGCCAGACTCGCTGTCTGTTACATAAGCAGCTTCTTCCAAATGCATGAAAGGAAGGCAGCACCCAAACTTCTGCCTTCTCTTTCCACTGGTTGTCCCTCTCTAGGTTTCTTGTTTGATTTCCATTGATTGTCCATCTTTTGTCTCATGATCTTCTTGCAATTTGCTCATTTCCAGGGCAGCAAGTTCTTGGCTTAGTGGAGAACCAGAGTGATTGGTATTTGGGCAACCTTTGGAAGAATCATCGGCCTTGGCCAGCACTTGGGAGGGGCTACAACACAGGTAGGACTGAGGATTTTCTTTTAATTAAGTGTGCAATCATTCTCCTGGTATCGAGAGTGTGGTAATTTGCACCTCCCTTCCTAATCTACAGATAAATTTGTCTTTTAAACAGTTAAAGTGCTGCAATGTCCTGCATTTTGAAGTTCCCAGTCTTCTCTACATGATGTTAGGAAATATTGTGTGGCATCTTTGGGGGAAAACCAGAACTTTTCAGCAATCTGACACATCCTCAGCACATTTCCTACAATATTTCTGTCCATGATGATGTGTATGTAGCCGAGCAGGAGGGAATAAATAGGAAATGAGACTCATTTTCTGTAGAGAGGTAAATGGTATCACAGAATGTCAGCCCAATAAAGATACAACTCCTGCAGGACAGCAACAGGGTCATAATTGTCCTAATAAAATGCAGGCTACTGACCATCAATTTCTGCTGGCATAAGAAAGGAATAAAGGCACTAGATTGGAGAATTTATTAGGTTACAAGAGACAGGTCTTCCCACTGATTTGTGTATGGTATGTGAGAAAACATACCAGGTGCATAAAGAATACACGCGTATATCTAAATCATTTTGATGCTTGGCTTTCCATGCTGATGCAGGGAGTTAGGTTCCCTCTCTATTTGTAATAAAAGGACAGAACAGATGGTGAAGCTTCCATTTGGAACAGATGAGACCATTTAAATATCCCGGCACTATCAGGAAATTATTCACCATAATAATGGTTTTGCCTCTCAGAAATGTATTGGATTGAATTAAACAGATTAACTAGAAGAAGGATTGAACAAGTTGTGGTTGGGTCATCTATATTTCTCCATTCCTTTGTATATTTGTGGGGATCCAACTAGTTTTTGTGAATTTGTATTTCAGTCTCTGCAAAGTTTCTCTGTTCTGTGAAAATATTCAAAAGAATAACAGAACACAGATGGATGTGGATACAAGACTTTGGCAGAAGAAGTTTGTTTCCTGGTTCTTCATTTGCCAGAATTGCAAATATAAAGGCTAGGTCTGCCCACTCCTGTTCCCCAGCCCACAAAAAGCATGAGACAGAGCTAAGTTTCATGGGTTTATCCTGAAACCTGAAAGCTTATGTTAAACACTACTAAACTTGTTGATGTCAATTCTGTTCACTGTTATACCACAAAGCAGTATCTTTTGTTCTGCTCAGAGATGACCACCTGTTACAGTTACCTCCTTTCTGCTGCACTTTTGCTTTCTCCTTTCTGCCTTTTTAATGCTGGCAGAGAGAAATGGCACAACCACATAACATTAGAATAACCTAGAAATGTATGATAAGTAGTATCTAAAATGCAATTGTGTTTAAAAATGCTGTAAGGCTTTAATTTATATTGTCTTAACTTACTGTTCCAAATGGTTTATAGGGATACCGAATGTCAGTATAGCACAGAATTCTTCCACTGAAAGCAAAAATAATTGCAGTCCTTCACATACATTGCATCTGTTAATTCTTATAGCAATACAAACCTACCAGGACATGAATGATCCCATAATCCTGCCCATGATTTTAGTCTCCTCACCATTTCTTTCTTCACACATCACTGTAGTTAGAAAAACATTTTTAGGAAGAAAACCAGAAGGTAGATAATGTATGGAAGATTGACAAGTGATCATAAGAAGTGGAATGCTGTTTTTTCAAGTACACGGAACAAGAGGTCCCTGAGTGAAACAGTGCAACCTCTGAGAAGTAGAAGATGATGTTATTGACAGAATCAGCACCCTTTACTATAATTTTCTTAATTGAATTCATTGTTTGCCTCAGTAACCTAGCGGAGATTGGATAAATTTCTCAAGGAAGATGAAATATCAGGTGAAACTGAAGCTTGTTTGGTGTGTTCAGTCAATTAATAATTGACACTGAATGCAACACTGTGGCCAAGGAGGATTCAGAAAACCAGACGTGGTTGGGCACAGAGAAGAGAGGCCATATCTCTAGGCAAAACATTCGTGAAAGACAGTGGACCAGGAAAGGGAAGACACAGAAATTCAGGTGCCTAGAGCTGTACTTAGGAACAGTAAAAGGGTCTCCAAAACCCTGAAACTTTAAGGAGCTAAAGAAAGCTGGATCAGGGGGAAGCTCTTAGGCAGACTTTGCTTTTGCACTTGGGAGAGTGTTTACTACAAACCGAGGATACAATCCTGTTGAAAGGAATTTTCATGTGAGCCCCTTCAGCCAGACCTCACGCTGGCAGATTTGATGCAGAAGCACCCCTCAAAGTCAAAATTCTTTCACTGCTTCCTCCCAGTTTCTGTTTCACTCTTACCTTTCTATATTTGAGCCACTGTGGACAGCATATAGTTTGGGAGAGTCCCAGAAGGCAGATACATTAAAGGCAAAGGTGTGTTTGTTCCTTCACGGCTAGTTCTTTAAACCAGTAAGCATGTGTGTTCTCCTGTTCCTCTGTGCCCAGGCCAAATCTCCTGACAGCTAATACAGGTTTTCAAGGGAAGATTTTATTTGGTTGTTTTTCATCCTTCTTCTTTATTTGCACAGGCAGGTAATCCAAGTTATACTTTAGTCCATGATAATATAATTGTAGGAAAACCAGACCAAACTCAAGTCGGTTCAGTGACAATTTAATTAGTGCTTAATATGTTCTTAGTAAGAACCATTCTTTATTTGCCATAATATTCTCTCCCTCAAGCCATTTTAAGTACAATTCCTTCTGTACCACAGGGTTACCTAGGTTTTTCTGTACCTCACTCCTTTTCTATATCATCTACTCCATGTGGCTTGGCTGCACTGAGTTTGACTCTTACAGATTCCTCATACATTAGTTAAAGCACACTTTTCTTGCTGCATAACCTAAATTATCTTTCACTGACTAAACTGTGCTTTTGAAAGTATGGCCTGAGACACACTAGGATTTTTCTCTTTATAGATATTAAACTGACAGCTCCAGAATTGCACTGTAGCGTTTGATGTTCATTTCTGGAGTAACAGTCATCTTAGTCCTCAGAAAAGTATCTTGTCAAAGAAATTCTAAACCTAAAAGCTTTTAGTACTTCGTCTGCCTTATACTTTCCATCATGGTGGAGAACAGTTTTAAAAAGCAGTTTCTGGTGACTGTTACGACTTCAGGCCACTTCCTCAGCTGCTGAGAATCAGCCCTGGCTTCGGCTTTAGTGCAACAGTGCCAACCACCTCAGTTGAGAATGGACTCCATGCCTGTCAAATGGAACTTTAGGATGAATCTGTGTCTGTAATTTGGGTTCCAGGGTAACATTTCTAAAACTTTGGTCCAGGGGATTTCAGACTTCTAGTCTACAGAAGACCATCCTGAGGATTTGAGGCTCATCTAAAATACACTGCCACAGTGCAACTACCAGATACTGTAAGGAGGTGTCTCAACAGCTTGAGCTGAGGATTCATACTCCCACACTGAGAAATGTGACATTACCAGATTTGTGGATTGAGAACAGAAGGCAATGGCTAGCACCTAACGATTACTAGGCTGCATGTGTACCATGCCTTATTACTCCCATGTTTGTAATGACTGGAAGGATGCTAGAATGATTCTCTTTCCTTTGTTTCCCTGAAAAAAGGACCTATGGAAGCATATGTTCCATCATTTTTGCATAATATTTAACAACTTTAAATGGTAAAAAAAAAAGCACACAGCAGACTTTATATGAAATTAGTCTTGATCACATCTTGTGCTTCTTCATGGTCATAGAATCATAGAATCACAGAATTTGAGGGTTGGAATGGACCTTACAGATCATCTAGTCCCAAACCCCTGCCCTGGGCAGGGGCACCTCCTCACTAGATCAGGTTGCTCAAGGCCTCATCCAGCCTGGCCTTGAACACCATCAGGGTCAGGGCAGACACCACATCCCTGAGCAACCTATGCCAGTGTCTCACCACCCTCACAGGAAAAAAACTTTTTCTCACATCCAACCTAGACTTCCCCTCCTTCAGTTTGAATCCATTACCCCTTGCCCTATCATTGCAGTTTCTAACACCGAGTCCCTCTCCAGCTCCCTTTTAGGCCCTTCAGAT